TTTGGAATTTGATGTAAACGTTTTTGAATCACGAAGATTCAATGGTTTTTCATACGGATACTGTCGTTTGTTACGTCCAGGGATATTATAACCTTGTGTAAAACAAAAGAAACAACAGTAATAACCAGTATGTCCAATAAAATCCAAAATTAATTTTAATGCTGGACAATCACCAATTACACCATAATATTTTATATTAAAGGATGTTGATGGATTTACATAAACTTGCTGCTTTTTCAAATTTAAAAGCATTCTGAATCTATTACCCAACCACATGCGAACATTTGGATCATTGTGTCCAATCCATATTGATACAATTGGCATATTATGTCGATGATAACGTAATCCTGGTGGTAGTTCAATAATAGAAGTACTTAACAACCACATTTTTAATTTGATCGATTTACATAAACCTATACCATCCAAATACAGAATGAAACAAAGTAAATTTTGTGAGGAGAATTTTTTTAATAATTCTTGATATGTATGACCAAATGGAATATCACTTAATCCACCACTATTACCACTACTAATTACTTGTTTGTATTCGTTAATATCATTTCATAACCGTTGAAGGATTGATGTTAATAATAAATAATAATTAGCATCATAAATTAATGCAACATCTTTATTTTCAGCATTTGGACACTTCGAACATTTTTTGGCTGAATTAAGAAGTATTGTATTGAAACAACTGAATGTATCCATTGTATATTGTATTCTCACTATTATCAGCCTTCACCTCATATATGTTCAGCAGATTTCATCAGTATTCACCGCATATAGGTTTTCAATGATCTGAATCGATTGCGTATATCGACAATTCGTGGACACATGGATACAACAGACAGTGCTTCATGCGTTGTCTCAAATGCAACGTAACGTAGCCACTTTTATTCTGAACGGCATCACTTGTTACGCCAAAAATATTGTTTTTCATTTTCCCTAAATGCTTCTTCCTGGAACATTCCCTTAGACAGACAATATCTGGTTCTCCAAATTAACAGCTATCAGATGATAAATAATATTAAACTGTAGGCCACACATTAGAGAGTTTTCTGACGTTGCCCGATTTTAGAACTGATGCTTTGTTGTTTTCAGAGTAAAGCATTTTTCATCATGATCATTAACTAGTCTGTAAACTTGAATAATCAAGTTTAAGCAAAAAATTTTTTTTCAAGTCAAACAAAGATTTTTTAATCAAAATGCACACTATAGTTATACAATAACCTTTTCTGTTACAAAAAAGTATTGAACAAAAAATAAACAAAAAGTGACAATATACAAAGAATGAAAGGGAATACAATCAAACTATCTTTGTTTTCCTGTTAACTATTTATCCGTGAATAAAAAACAGCGACAAATAATAATGTTGTTTTCTTAAGTCTGAATCCATTTATGGACAATGCAAAGATACTGAATTCTGTAATAATTTCGATATTCAATAATTATTATGTTCAAAATAAGTATGACATTCAACATTTACGACCAAAATCATGTATATGTGAAGAAAGAGAACACTCCAAAATACCTCGAAAAGTATAGAAACAATTTTATAACGTCAGCGCGCAATTTGGAGAACTTTGAAAAAATCTACTTTTTTGGTTAGAAAGTGGAAGGATTTGGGTATACGGCGGATAAACGATATACTACTCTAAATTTATATTTTGAAGCAAAATGCTCAATAGAAATCTTGTACAGAACTTCACGACGAATGCTTTAAAAGAAAGATCAAAGCTTAGTTCAAATCAGAGACTGAAATATATGCCAAATACTGACAATATCATTTACTCTGGAACACATGGTAGAAAACACTAAAACCAGTAAAATAAAACAAAAAGTAAAAATAGTTTTCTTCTAGTATATCACTCACATGGAAAACAGTTCATTCAGAATAGATGACAGATGAATTTTTGGAGTTAGCATGGTCGACAACCTAGTTGGAACTATCATTTTTAGCTCGACGTATTGTCAACAGTTTCAGAAAATTTTTAAAACAAACGTTATTTTCCTATGGATAATATTTTACGCATTTTATTCAGAAAATTTTCTCGATATGCCTCGTCAAAATTAAGAATTCGTAAACTATTAGCTGTGTTGAATCCGAAAATATACTTGCTACCCACTCTCCATGGACTTTATTTCTACGTCACGGTGATATGTTTCCCAATTAGAAACAAAGTGGAATTTTAAAGCCACAATGGAAAGCGAAGTGGATTCTTCTGTTTTCACGGTGTAAAATATTTTTTTAATTAAAAACAGTGAAAGTGATAGTGACATCGTATTTATCTTACTCTCTCGAAGTTCCTACTACACATATCTTGTTCGAACAATTGAGTATAATGCTTATACGATAGATTTTACCTTCTGCAATTCTAATCAAAAGGTCAAAATACGAATGCTGGCCTAAGTCCCAAACTGCTGCGAGAACTCACCGCGCTAAATGAAAGCACAATTTTTCTGAGAAAATTACAATCAAATTCAGCTTTTGTTCAACAATAACGAAAATAGTATGAGCGTTGTCGGAATATTGCATGCTGTTGTTCTTCATTTTTACTCTGATCTACCGTAGTATTATTACTCTGCTCCTTGATCACCAATAAAACATTTATCCACTATTTTGTCCGCTAGTGTTAAAAAAATTAGAAAACATTTCGACGCATAACACGAACGAAGTTTACGCTACTAAGGAATGAACAATACAATGTTGAAGTTATAAAAACTTTTCAACTTTGTATTTGATTCATAAGCTGCTAGCATCCACCCATGACACATTGACGCTGGATCTTTATCAATCAAGTATGATATTGATGTAAATATTTTCGCCGTAATCAGTATGTACATAGCCAGAACAATCTCACTTCCAACGCCAACAATGTCACTCACTCAACGATATCTGACTTTGAAGCAATAGATAAAAAGTTCACAGTTTCACAGCAAAACAATCAAAAGACTACTTCGTTTACGATCATAAAAGATCTTATAAGTTCCTATAATCAGAATTCATTAGTTTTTATAACATCTTACAAAATCTTATGACAAGAAAATCAAACAAAATTTACACTTATCACTCAAGATTGTACGAGATCATGCAAGACCTTGTGACTTCTTAACGTATGATCCTGTAAGATCTTATCACTTCTTATACCCAGATCTTATAAGATCTGTTAACAAGAAGTAATAAGAAATGCTATGATCGTATATGATCTTATTACAAGATCTTGTAAGATCGTATTGCATGATCTTATGATATGCTTTTGTAAGAAAACATCAGATCTTTTAAGATCTTGTAGGATGAACTTCACTTGGGTAGCCATGTAGTTTGAGATGCATTCGTGACGAAGTGCGATTAATCCTAGGATTTCTCAAAAATCTTGATTTTCTTTCTGGAAACGGCCCTTTTCCCAAGCCATATAAAGGCAGAAGGTCCGTCTAGATGCTGAGACCCGAAATATATCTTAAGAGATCTACGGGGATACAAAATCAGTAATAGCTCCATCAGATTTTGCAAAAGTCGGCAGAAAAGTCTGAGACTGAAGCTGTTTTAGAAAGAACAATCAAAATTTTTCTAAAAGTTCAAAAAGCTGTTAGGATAGTTTCTGTGGCAAGTAGAGAGGGTGTTTACAAATAAAATGTCTGTGTACTTATTTTACGCTCAACCTCGAAGTAAGTCTGAGGTGAATGATTCACCTTGATTGCATTATGTTCCCGAAGAAAAAACCGGGTAAAACATGGTGAAATCAGTAGGTCAATTACCTTCGGAAACACTTTATTTTGAGAGGTCTTCTCGTATCAAAAGTTTTTCTTTTTCACTCTTTTTTTTATATAGAAGTCGCTACATAAGAGTTCACCGACGTTAAGATAAATCTAGATCTTCAAAGGGTGTCCAGGAAACTTTTTAGCCTCATATTACATTGGACGCTTTTCCGTAAAATCAGAGAAGTTTACATGATTTATGAGCTAAACTGGCTGCGAACGCCGACCAAAGGGAGGCGTGAGCATTGTCTTGATTTTAGCAATATTTTTGGTATCTGTGGCGATCTTTGGAGGGTCTTGAGAAAACGTTTAGATTTACATTAGATTACGAACCTTACTCATCAAATCAGAGAAAAATTCACAACGTACTTTAGACAGTCCCCTAGCGAACGCCGGCCGAAGGGAGGCGTGAACGTGAGAAAGGGATAGTATGAGACGTATGGTACGAAACGTTTCGTACTACGATACCTTCAAGAGGTGTATTATGAAACCCGTTCGACTACGAAACCTTGAAGAGTATGATGCAAAACCTTGACGGGTATCATACGAAACCTCTTCGATTACTAAATCGTAATGAGGTTTCGCAGATCCGCACGATACCAGACTGGTATGGAAAAGTTCCACAGAACCTCACAAGTTTCATACTATACCTTTTCTATTTAGAGTGCGTCAAAATAACCTTGGACTGATAGAAATCCTACGCTTCCTAAATTTATGAGATTCGAGACTGTGTCTTTTTCATATAGGCGGTTACTGTGCTTATATGTAGTGTAAGCAAATATTTTAGTTCACATATGAGAACCACACTTACTTTAAACGCTGGATTGTTCGTCAACGGTAACAGAACTATGTATTGGTGAATATTTATCCTGCACGCAGCCAGAATTCATCAATGATGAATTAGCCATTATCACACTCTTCAGAATTTTGTCAAGTCAATCTCACAGCTGTCATACAGTTCGCAGAATTTTAACAACGATCAATGTTACGAGTTATTTATTAGCTAGAATTTACAGCGTCTAACGTCGAAGTTTTTCCAATATTAGACGGAGAAAATGAATTAATCAGTGGCGTGTGCTTGTGAAAAAATATTTGTGTGAAAGAGTCAGAAAGACGATCTTGTTGACAGCGCAAAGGAGATGTGTGCGTTGATGGTGGGGAAGATGAATGTGAGTGGATTTAAGAAAACGAACCATCAAGTGCTAAGAATTCATGGTGGTACATCGAGGTTCCAGCCTAGTGGTGTCAGCTAAAGGAAAAAAAATTATTATCAATCTACGTCCTTCAAACCTATAGCACCTACACCTTAGTGCTTGATCATTTGTCTTCCGTCCTTTCTATCTTCTCTTTAGCTCACTGAACCATGAATCTGTACTCATCATCTATTCTTCTATCAAGTATAGATGACAGAAAAAGGAACAGAATATTTCCTCATAATACACTTTTTTCGCCATCTTTCACTATTTTTAGGCTATGATAGTCTCCTGTAAGTCAAAATAGACAACTCTATTGTACAGGGTGCCACTAAATAAACGGAACACCTACATCTATCTTGTTTTAAACGCTTTTTCTCTACAAATTTTTATTCAAAACCTAGCAAAACAACAGAAACAACAATAAATAAAAAGATTTATTCAAAATGGCCTCCATCTGCTTCTACACATGCCTTCAATCGCTTCGGGAAAATAAAAATATAGTCAAATTTGTTGAGAAAAAGCGTTTAAAACAAGATAGATGTAGGTGTTCCGTTTATTTAGTGGTAGGGTGTACAAATATCAAATGCAACTAAAGTACATCGAATTAGCAAATGAGTTGTTTATTCACTACACATAACTGATTCATTAATTAGTTGAAGTAGAAATAAAAATTCTAGTGATGACACAACGGCCTAAGCGGATGCATTATTACCACTGAGGTGGAAAAGTGCCGTATAAATATAAATCGACGAGCAA